TGAGATGAATTGTTCTTGTTGCCCAGGCTGGAGCAGCAGTGGCCAATCTCAGCTCACTGCAACCCACCTCCCAGGGCCCAAGCCATTCTCTGCCTCAGCCTCCCAAGTGAACGGGTTTATAGAAGTGGGCGCCACCAAGTCTGGCTAGTTTTGTGGTTGTTATTTTTTGGTAGAGATGCTTTCATGCTGCAAGGCTGGATCCAAACTCCCAACTCAGGTGGATCCACCCATCTCCGCCCTCCCAAAAAGGCTGTGGAATATAGGTGTGAACCCATCACGCCCAGCCTCTAGCTTCTGCTTCAAAATAATAAATCTGTTTTGGGTTTTTGTACTAAGGAAAAACATTTTCTTTTTTCTTCTTGCCTTTTCTGTTTTCTCAAGATGGAGCCCTTTTGCCTGGGCCTGGCTGAGTGTAGACATTGCCACCACAACCTCCAATTCCTCCCAGCAGGTCTGCGGGCTGGCCCTCCTGTCTCCAATTTCCTTGAGTGAGCTGTATATCATACAGTGCACACCACCACCTGTAAATTTCACCAGGCACTTTACTTTTATTATCACAATAGGCTGGTCTCGAACTCCTGACCTTACAGATCTAGCTGCCTCAGCCCCAGCTGGGACAGAGGCATGTTTCCACCAGCCCAGCTTCTAAAATTTTCACTGCTGAAATTTTCTTTTTTTTTTTTTTTTTTTTTTTGAGGCGGAGTTTCGCTCTGTCGCCCAGGCTGGAGTGCAGTGGCCAGATCTCAGCTCACTGCAAGCTCCGCCTCCCGGGTTCACGCCATTCTCCTGCCTCAGCCTCCCGAGTAGCTGGGACTACAGGCGCCCGCCACCTCGCCCGGCTAGATTTTTGTATTTTTTAGTAGAGACGGGGTTTCACCGGGTTAGCCAGGATGGTCTCGATCTCCTGACCTCGTGATCCGCCCGTCTCGGCCTCCCAAAGTGCTGGGGAAAATTTTCTAATTAAGAAAAATTGACCAGGCGTGGTGGCTCACTCCTGTAATCCCAACACTTTGGGAGGCCAAGGTGGGCAGATCATCTGAGGTCAGGAGTTCAAGGCCAGCCTAACCAACATGGAGAAAATCTGTCTCTACTGAAAATACAAAATTAGCCGGGGTGGTTGCGCATGCCTGTAATCCCAGCTACTCGGGAGACTGAGGCAGAAGAATCACTTGAATCTGGGAGGCAGAGGTTGTGGTGAGACAAGATCACACCACTGCACTCCAGCCGGGGCAACAAGAGCGAAACTCCATCTAAAAAAAAAAAAAAAAAAATGAGGCTTGTCAGTTTATACTCCTTTCCGGTCTGATCCGGTTTCATCTGGTTTCATCCGGTTTGATTCGGTCCGATCTGGTTTGATCCGGTCCGATCCGGTCTCATCTGGTATGATCCGGCTTCATCCGATTTCATCCGATCTGATCCGGTTTGATCCGGTTTCCTCTGGATTGATCCGGTCTGATCCGGTATGATCCGGTCTGATCTGGTTTGATCCGGTTTGATCCGGTCTAATCCGGTTTCATCTGGTGAGACCCGGTTTTATCCGGTTTCATCCGGTTTTATCAGGCCTGATTCGGTTTCATCTGGTCTGATCTGGTTTGATCCGGTCTAATCCGGTTTCATCCGGTGTGACCCGGTTTTATGATCCGGTCTGATCCGGTCCGATCCGGTCCTATCCGGTTTCATCTGGTTTGATCCGGTCCGATCCAGTTTCATCCGGTTTCATCCGGTTTTATCCGATCTGATAAGGTTCGATCCGGTCCTATCCGGTTTCATCCGGTTTCATCCGGCTTGATCCAGTCTGATCCGGTTTCATCCGGTCTCATCCGGTTTGATCCGGTCCGATCCGGTTTGATCCGGTCCTATCCGGTTTCATCCAGTTTCATCCGGTTTTATCCGGTTTGATCCGAACCAGTTTGATCCGGTCCTATTCAGTTTCACCCGGTTTCATCCGGTTTGATCCGGTCTGACCCAACCTGATCCGGTCTGATCCGGTTTCATCCGGTTTTATCCGGCTTCATCTGGTTTGATCCGGTTTGATCCGGTTTCATCCGGTTTGATCCAGTTTCATCCGGTTTGATCCAGACTCATCCAGTTTGATCTGGTCTGATCCGGTTTCATCCGGACTCATCCGGTTTGATCCGGACTCATCCGGTCTGATCCGGTTTCATCCGGTTTGATCCAGTCTGATCCGGTTTGAACCGGTTTCATCCGGTTTCATCAGGTCTGATCCAGTCTGATCCGGTTTTATCCAGTTTGATCCGGTTTGCTCCGGTTTGACCCGGGTTTGGTCTGATCTGGTCTGGTTTGGTCTAGTGCAATCTGGTCTCATCTGATCTGGTCGGGTTTGGTCTAGTCTGGTCGGGTTTGGTCTAGTCTGGTCCGGTCCGATCCGGTTTGATCTGGTTTGATCCGGTCTGACCCAGTTAGATCCAGTTTGAACCGGTTTGATCCGGTCTGATCTGGTTGATCCGGTTTGATCCGGTTTGATATGTTCTGATCCGGTTGGAACCGGGTTTGGTCTAGTCTGATCAGGTCCGGTTTGGTCTAGTCTGGTCCGGTCCTATCCGGTCTGATCCGGTCTGATCCGGTTTGATCCGGTTCGATCCAGTCTGGTCCCGTCCGGTCTGCTTTGATCCGGTTTGCGTCAGCCAGATCAGACTTGATAAAAATGGATGAAACCGGATCAGATCGGATCAAACAGGATGAAACCGGTTCAAACCGGCTCAAACCGGCTCAAACGGGATCAAACCGGATGAAACCAGCTCAAACCGGTCCAAACCGGATGAAACCGGTTCAAACCGTATCAAACCCGATGAAACCGGTTCAAACCGGATCAAACCGGATGAAACCGGTCCAAACCGGATCAAACCGGTTCGAACCGGTTCCAACCGGCTCAAACTGGTTCCAACCGGACGTAACCGGATGAAACCGGCTCAAACCAGTTCAAAGCGGATGAAAACCGGCTTAAACTGGATGAAACCGGTTCAAACTGGCTCAAACCGGCTCAAACCGGATGAAACCGGTTCAAACCAGATGAAACCGGCTCAATCCGGATGGAACCAGTTCAAACCGGATCAAACCAGATGAAACCGGATGAAACCGGCTCAAACTGGCTCAAATCGGTTCAAACCGGATGAAACCGGCTCCAACCGGCTGAAACCGGATGAAACCGGTTCAAATCGGTTCAAACCAGATCAAACCAGCTCAAACCGGCTCAAACCGGTTCAAACCAGATCAAACCGGATGAAACCGGCTCAAACCGGTTCAAACCGGACGAAACCGGTTCAAACTGGCTCAAACCGGCTCAAAGCCAGCTCAAACCGGATGAAACCGGCTCAAACTGGTCCAAACCGGATGAAACCGGTTCAACCGGATCAAACCCGATGAAACCAGTTCCAGCCGGATCAAACCCGATGAAACCGGTTCCAACCGGATGAAACCGGTTCAAACCCGGCTCGAACCGGTTCCAACCGGACGTAACCGGATGAAACCGGCTCAAACCGGTTCAAAGCGGATGAAACCGGCTCAAACCGGCAGAAACCGGATCAAACCGAATGAAACCAGTTCAAACCGGATCAAACCGGATGAAACCGGCTCAAACCAGCTCAAACCGGTTCAAACTGGATGAAACCGGCTCAAACCAGCTGAAGACGGATGAAACCGGTTCAAACCAGATCAAATCGGTTCAAACCGGCTCAAACCGGATGAAACCGGCTCAAACCGAATCAGACCGGATCAAACCGGATCAGACCGGATCAAACCGGATCAAACCGGATGAAACAGGATCAAACCGGATCAAACAGGATCAAACCAGATCAAACCGGATCGGACCGGACCAGACTAGACCAGGCAACATGGCGAGACCTCATCTCTACAAAAAATTTTAAAATTAGCTGAGTGTGGTGGTGCGTGCCTATAGTCTGAGCTGCTTGGGAGGCTGAGGTGGGAAGATTGCTTGAGCCCAGGAGGCGGAGGTTGCAGTGAGCCAAGATCATGGGACACTCCAGACTAGATGACAGAGACAGAACTACCATCTACCAGAAAAACAGAAAAGAACATGAGTTCCTGAGGTGGTGGCCTGGGTTACCAGCCTGGCCTGTCCATTCAGCAGCTGGGTGACTTCACGCCTTTTAAACCTCAGTTTCCTGAAATGTAAAGTAGAATAATCCTCACCAACATGGTCATTGCAAGGATTATGAGGCTGGCAGCAATCAGAGGCCAGTACAAGTACTGTTAGAGTTCAAGGGAACAATCCCATTTGGATTTCCTCACCTGCTGCAGTCTGTGAAGAGTCCTATGCCAAGTACAGTGACAGAGGAGAGTGAGCCTCTAGGCTAGCGGTTCGCCTAAGCCATCGCTTAGGATTTTTTTTTTTTTTTTTTTTGAGACAGTCTCACTCTGTCTCCCAGACTGGAGTGCAGTGGCATGATCTTGGCTCACTGCAACCTCTGCCTCCTGGTTCAAGCAATTCTCCTGCCTCAGCCTCCCAAGTAGCTGGGATTACAGGTATGTACAACCACACCCAGTTAATTTTTGCATTTTAGTATAGACTGGGGACACACCATGTTGGCCAGGCTGGTCTCGAACTCCTGACCTCAGGTGATCCACCTGCCTCAGCCTCCCAAAGTGCTGGGATTACAGCCGTGAGCCACTGTGCCCAGCCAGGATTTTTTAAAAGGAAGGAAGGGTTGTACTTGACAGAAACCAAGGAATTGCAGAAAACAATTTCCATGTGCCTAAACTCTTCAGAGAGAGAGAGCTACCATTGCTTCCAGAAAGTGGGTTCCAGGCTGGGGAAGTCTTGAGTCTCAGCATTCTGAGAAGCAAGCCTGGTGCCATCACACCGAACTGCATACGTCTACACTGAGGTATTAAAACGTGCACTGTCACATCAGCGTAATGCCTCCTAACGGGCTGCATAAACCTGAAGGCTCATGCTCCAGGCTGCTGCCCATTCATGGGCCGTTGGGGAGGTCCCAGAGAGAGAGGCCTGCGGGTCTTACCAGTGTGGGCGGCTGGAACCCAGACCACAAAGGGCTCCCTGGAGGAAAGCACATCGTCTCATCTGATAGTCATGGTAGTGATAGCTCTCTTCACAGATACCAGCTTTTCCTAAAGAAGGAAATCCTCCCAGCTGAGTCAGCCCTTCCTGCCCACTACTTTTTCCATAAGCAAAGAGATGTAGGTTATTGGCTGTGGGCTCAGAGCAGGCTCAAGCATGGGGGTCATTTTCCTGAGAGCAAAGGCTGAGTCAACTCTTACTCAACAGCTGAGGAGCTGTTGAGAATCTGGGAGCTGAAGATATGAGCCATACTAGTTATCTGTGGCACCCACAGGTTAATGTTCAGACTTAAGAAATTACTTAAGGCAGAAGAATCTGAAGTTCAGGAATCAGCTGTACGCGACTCAGCTTCTGGCCTTAGGCTGGGGACTTGACTATGAGGAGTAAAGAACTCCTGGCCTGGCAACCATGGAGCCAACCAACAAATGAGGTGTTAGGAGACCCCTTGTGTTTTCAGCTTGAAGAGTTAATACTTTGCATAAGCCCTAGTTTTGACAGCAGTTATTTTGATCCAGCACTGAGAATTGGTTAGAGATCCAAATTTGGTTTTGCAGAAAGACATGCATTTGATTCAATTCACGATTGTTAGTAGCCATATTCTAGGAAACATAGATAAATACCACTTGTAGAAAAGCATATTATTCTTTATATATTTCTTCAAACAGCTAATCCGCATGGTTGTATGTTGTATGCACTCCTTGGATTTCTAGAAAGAAAGATTTCACGCAATCTTGAGAATGACGTTCCCTCTCTTTCCAATCACCAACCATACACCCAATGTGGAAGGGCCACTGTTCATCATAACTTTTGAGTCAATAAGAAAGGCCACCATTGATTGGCTGGAATGTGGTATCTGCCAGGATCTTTACAGCCATTATTTCTTGCCTTATGAAGGTATTATGGTTATCCCCCTTTTTATGGTTTGCAAGGCCAAGTTGGGATATGAACGCTAGATCCAGCTCACCCAAAACCCGCATGCTTTGGCTTGTACATGCCTGTGGAGGCCACTGAGACCCTAGAAAGCGATCTGGAGCGAATCAGCCCCTGACCCCACTCATGCCCATGGCTGCAGCTGCAGCAGCATGTGCTTTCTGGTGAGATAAACGTCATCAGCCACCTGTCTGTGTCCATGAGCCTCCTGAGCATTTATGATAAGCAAGAATATTCTCTCCTCTGAAAGCCCCCAGGCATTTTCTCACAAGCCTTGGGAACATGATTTCACTTCACTGTTGTTTGTATCCTGGGTGCTGAGGATACAGCCATGAAAAGTCCAGTGACCTTGCCCTCACCTGCACCAGAAACCGGACTCTCTGTGTTTGCCAAACTGCTGATAACTCCACTCTGGGCAGAGCCTAACACAGTTTCACATTGTCTGCTCACAAAAAGATCTAGGAGCTTGTCTGAAGCTGCAGCACATTCTTGGATTCCAGTTGGAAAAAGCAGAAGGGGTATTTAGGGGCCAATCTTACAGAAATTCCTGGAACTTCAGATGCATTATTCTAAGGCAGACCTGGCCCTGGGGCCCAGTGTGAACAGTAGGTTCTGCTGGGCTTCCACTTTGAGAGGAGTTGGCCTAATATTTTGAACATAGCCTGCCAAGTCCTGAGTTACCAAACTGCTTGTGGTGACTCAGTTGCAAAGTGACTAAGGCCTATCCTGGCTTGTGGGGGATAAAGGGACAAACAGGCTTGGCTCTGCCTGGAGTCCATGACAGTCTAGACAGGTTGGGGAGTGCCAAGACCAATGGTGGTGAAAAGACTTGCCCCAGATGGACTGTGCTGGAGATGCCTGGAGCCCACCTGACCCCTCAGTCCCCACAAACCTGTCCTCAGTCTCCCACAAACCTGACTGGGACCACTCCAAAAGGGAAGGCTGGTAATAAAGAATAGAGCACTGGCTATGAGATCAGATCAGATGTGGTGATGCAAGTTCAGCAGTAGGCGTAGCCACTTCCTGGCTGAGTGACTCAGGCAGGTCCACTCGCACCTCATTTCCTCACTATCAGGAAGCCCTTAGGCAGATTGACATGGTTTCTTGCCTGTCCCTACAGTTGTCCTACACATTCCTTCCCTATGATGGATAAGCCCGGAGGATTCACGGGATGGCACCGGGATCTACCATCTCGTCTCGCCCCTGCCCAAGACCCAGACATGGCTTTTGTTCAAAAGTCCTATTAAGTGTTTCATGCTGAGATGGCTAGTGCAGTGGCTCACGCCTGTAATCCCAGCATTTTGGGAGGCTGAGACAGGCAGATCACTTGAGGTCAGGAGTTTGAGGCCAGCCTGGGCAACATAGCAAAACCCCGACTCCACTAAAAATACAAAAGTTAGCCAGGCATAGTGGTGCATGACTGTAAATCCTTTACTTGGGAGGCTGAGGCAGGAGAATCGCTTGAACCCAGAAGGCAAAGGTTGCAGTGAGCCGAGATCTTGCACTGCTCCAGCCTGGGCGACAGAGTCTCAAATTTAAAAGTACTAAAATAAAAAAGCAAATTACCCTCATTCCTTCACTACTTTTCACCACAGCTCTCTGATCACACCCGCAGAAGTAACCCATATTAATAGTTTGGAGAGCATCCTTCCAATCTTTCATCTTCTATGCACATGGAAACACAAACACACCCTTATTCAGGTAACATGACAACTCCAAAGGGCTATTTGCCCTGCAATTCTCCAACTTGCTTTTTCAATACATTGCAGCCATTGTTGCATGCTGGAATATTTAGCTCTAACTTATTCTGTAGCAACCATGACTTTTTTTTTTTTTTTAAAGAAACAGTCTTGCGTAGTCCAGGCTGGAGTGCAGTGGGGTGATCATAGTTCCGGTGGCCTAATCCTCATGGGCTCAAGTGATCCTTCCACCTCAGCCTCCCAGGTAGGTGAGACTGTAGGCTTTGCCACCACCACAGCCTGGCGTGACTTTTAACAGCTGCATAATATTCCAGTGTGTGAGCATATCGTAATTTTATTGATCTTTCTTCTACTGTTGGTTTTTAATCTTTTCTCTTTTTTCCAACATTTTCTTCATAACCGTACTTTTTAGCTCAGCCTCATCTGCTTTTTTCATTTCTTTCTGTGTACAGACCCCTCATCTATTTCCCCTATTCTGTTTTATCACAGTAAAATCAGCTGGTTGAAAGTTCTCAGGCCGGGTGCGGTGGCTCACTCCTGTAATCCCAGCACTTTGGGAGGCCAAGGTGGTGGGTGGATTATGAGGTCAGGAGATCGGGGCTTATCCTGGTGCCACAGTGAAACCCCCATCTCTACTAAAGGCCACAAAATTAGCTGGGCGTAGTGGCGAGCGCCTATATTCCCAGCTACTCGGGAGGCTGAGGCAGGAGAATGGCATGAACCCGGGAGGCGGAGCTTGCAGTGAGCGAGATCATGCCACTGCACTCCTGCACTCCAGCCTGGCGACAGAGCGAGACTCCGTCTCAAAAAAAAAAAAAAAAAAAAGAAAGTTCTCAGGACGCCTTGAGGAGTTGGAATCCCGGGCAGCACAGGCTATGTGAACTGGTGGTCAAGTGTGGAATCTCCCAGTACTTTCAGATCCCTGGAGCTTTCAGATGCCCTTGCACTTGACCTTGAGCCTAGCGGGCCACCTTTCCCCATGTTACCCGTTCAGCTTCTCCATCAGTGCTGGGGCAGATCCTGTTGTTGCTATCCTTGATTTCCATCAGGAGCATAATGTACGCGTTTGATGACCTGCAAGAAAAGAGAATTCCCAGGGGTTGAGGAGTCATTTACCACGGATAAATAAGGCTTTTATTGGACACTTACTGTTTTCAAACATTGCATTGTAGTGCTTATTAAAATAGTTTATATTTAATGAAGGAGATAGCTCCCTGAGGTAGGTTGGTGCTTTTGTTACATATACATTTTTAAGATGGCGTGAAACTCAGAAAGTTAACGTAAGTGCCTCCCAGTCACCCTACTAGAAAGTGGTGGGCTGGCGGAGTTGAACTATACCATTCAAGCCCAGAGCCCACTTGCTCTTTGACCTCCCCACAATATCCTGCCTCTTCAGCACAGCCCAAGATAATTATAATATAATAATAAATATTAAGCCCTTAGTCAGCAAGGTAACAGACTGGATTAGAAGTCAGAGGTATAATGACCAATAACTATAAAAGCTGACATTCCATGCCAACCTACTCCAAGTCTTAATAACCCTATGGGATAACTATACTTTTAGTCCATTAAACATAGGCAGAAACCCAAGCTCCAGAGTGGTTGGTATTGGCTTAAATCATACAATAGATGGGTTGTAGAGCAAATTTGGCAGACTCAAGTCCCACCCATTTAAAATCCACCATGCTGAACTGTTCGCACAATTCCTGGCTGGGCACATTCAATATACCTATAATCCCAGCACTTTGAGAGGATGAGGCGGGCAGATGCTGGGAATTCAGAGTTGGTTCAGCCTGGCTTCTTGTTTAAACCTGTCTACTAAAAAGAATACAAAAATTGATCAGTCATGGTGGCATGTGCCTGTAATCCCAGCTACTCAGGAGGCTGAAGCAGGAGAATCTCTGGAACCTGGGAGGCAGAGGTTGCAGTGAGCCGAAATCACGCCACTGCACTCCAGCCTGGCGACAGAGACAAGACTCCATCTCAAAAAAAAAAAAGAAAAACCAGTCACTGCTCTGGAAGACTCAGTCCTTAAGACAGACAAATGGAAACAACTGGCTATGATGTGAGACAAAATCAAACCAAAGACTTAAACCTAAGCTACATAAAAGTCACAGCTGCAGTGTTTGAGGAAGTAATTAATCGCCTATTGGAGGATTTGGAAGGGACTCACAGTGAGTGACATTTGAATAGTGCAAGCTGAGAAGGCACTCCAGAGAGAAAGAATATAGGAGAGGCTCCTTCAAGCCCACAGCCCTTTCTGTGACCAAGCCCACAGGGGGCCTTTCTGTGTATGGGATCCTGGTGGGCTCGTGTTAGTTGTTAGTCAGGGCAGGCATCCCAGGTAATATCTTTTTTTGAGACAGGTCTTGTTCTGTGCCCAGGCTGGAGTGCAGCTGTGTGATGCGAGCTGCAGCCTCAATCTCAGCCTCCGTGATCCACTTCCCCTGGCCTCCCAAAGTGCGAGAGTACAGGCACAACCACTGCCCACCTGGTCTCCAAGATTAATTATATCCTCTTAGCCACCAGAACCATGGGAGGATGGGAGGTTATGCAGTGGTCCTGTCTTTCCAGAGCACAGCAATTCCATCTTAGAAGGCCCAGTGGGGAGAACACCAGCTTTCCACATGTCTGGGTGCCTCTCTGTGACTGGGGTTCTTTAGGAGGCACTGGTCTCAGGAGAATCCACCGTGTAGTGACTGACGGGGAGAACAATGTCCTAAAGGGCTGTGGGCATGCCTGAACAGCTTGAACTCCATGGCATCAGCCAGGGCTCTCTCCTGGGGGAGCTGGAAGCCACTGGCCAAGCCAGTCTGCTGATTTAGTCACTGTGACCGCACCTTTCTGGAAGGCATTTTTCAAATATCATATGCCTTATTAATTTTTCCACTTTGAAGAATGTCTTTGGTGCAGGTGGCTGACCTGTAATCCCAACACTTTGGGAGAGCCAAGGCAGGGCAGATCACTGAGGTCAGGGCTTGGGAGACCAGCCTGGCCAATATGCCGAAACCCTGTCTCTACTAAAAATACAAAATCAACTGGCCGTGTGGCGTAATGCCTGTAATTCCAGCTACTGAGAGGCTGAGGTGGGGCTCATGAACCGAGGGACAGAGGTTGCAGTGAGCCAAGATCACACCATGGCTCCAGCCTGGGTGACAGAGTGAGACTCCAACTCAAAAAAAAAAAAAAAAAAAAAAAAAAAATGTCTCTCATTCCATAGAAATATACAATTTCTCTGCACCTCAGGAGTTCCTCATGTATAAATTGGGATGAAAATATCGTCTCACTTAAGTTTCTTCTGAGATTAAGTGGAGGTACTTAGAATAGTGCCAGCCATGTAGGGGCATGAAACAAATCATTATTACTGTACAGATCAAAGAAAGATGTATTGCAACAAAAATTGGACACAACCTAGGTATTGCAAACAGAAAATCATTGTGGGTGGGGTTGCAAACACAGGATAAGGCATTATATAGCATTAAAGGCATATTTTAAAAAAGAATATGAACATCATGGGAAATATAATATAAAGCAGAATACAAAACTGATGACACAGGATGGTGTCCCTGCTTTCACGAAACCATGCCGGACTTACATATGCCTGTAAGAAAATTACCCAAATGCCAACAACAATTACCTTCAGAGTAGCAGGGTAATGAATGATTTCTTTTCTTCTTCACAGGTTTTCTGTATTTTAAAAATCATCTTTATTATTCTTTCATTTTAAAATCATTGTTTAATTTATACAAAATATAATTTAAAATTAGACCTTTATAATTAAAATGAGAGTCTTATTTAAAAAAATAAAACTGCTCAATGGGGAAGAATTGTAGGAGTAATGGCCACAAAATTTATCAGGACATGACAGGTGCATTTCTAATAACTATTTAATATAAGTTAAACAGTTATCCTTATATAACATGCTTAATACAGTGCCTGGAACATAGGAAAGGCTTCATAAGAGTTACCTCTTATCATTGACTCATCAATTTTTTTTTTTTTTTGAGACAGAGTCACAGATCTCATGTATGTGAGCTGTAGGCACAGTGGCAATCTCAGCTCACGGGGTTCCAGCCTCCGCCTCCTGGATTCAAGCGATCTCTGCTTCAGCCTCCTGGGTAGCTGGGATTACAGGCACCTGCCGGCTCACTGCCCGGCCCAGTTTTGTATTTTAGCAGAACGAGGGTTTCACCGTGTTGGTCAGCTGGTCTCAGGCTCAAACTCAGGTGATCTGCCGCCTTAACCTCCCAAAGTGCTGAGATTACAGCTGTGAGCCACCGCGTCCAGCAATTAATCAGTTTCATGATAACTCTTTGATGCTGGTCTTCAGTGCTAGTGTAGTTGGGTACTCTGAGGCTCCATGAGGTTTAATAATTTGAACACAGAGTGAATACAGGACAACAAGTTATCTACACTACAGAGCACCTTCTTGACCACTATATGTGTTTATTTATTTATTTTTGAGATGGAGTCTTGCTTTGTGGCCAGGCTGGAGTACAGTGGTGCTATCTCAGTTCACTGCAACCTCCGCCTCCTGGGTTCAAGCAATTTCCTGCCTCAGGCTCTGAGTGCTTCAGGACTACAGGAGCCACACCTCACTTCCCAGCTAATTTTTGTATTTTTGGTAGAGACAGCGTTTTTCCATGCTGGTCAGGCTGGTCTCGAACTCCTGACCTCAGGTGATCCATCCTCCTCGGCCTCCTAAAGTGTTGGGATTACAGGCATGAGCCACTGTGCCCGACCCAAATACTCCATTTTCTAATCCCTCTTGACACATGGTCTCCCTGCTCAAATTTCAGACCAGGAAAAATATACTTGCCCTGGCTCCATCTTCTCAGAGAGGCTCAGGATGAGAGTCCCAGGGAAACAGCCTTCCAGAGCGAGACCTGGCTGATATCCCTAAGGCCAAATTCTGACTCTGTTTACAGGAGAGGAAGAGGAATTTCTGGAGTTGTGCACATACCTAGTGTTGACAGAATCCAAGCAACGTGTGTTATAGTGGGCCTGGGGAGAGAGGGGGAAGAGATGGGGTCTGGAGGGGGTCTTGAAGCTATCACCAGGACAGGCTGGGCATGGTGGCTCATGCCTGTAAGCCCAGTGCTTTGGCAGGCTGAGGCAGGAGGATATTGAGCTCAGGACTTTGTGGGGACAGCCTGGGTAACATAGCGAGACCCCATCTCTACAATTTTTTTTTAATTAGCCAGCATGGTGGTGTGCACCTGTAGTTGCAGCTACTCAGGAGGCTGAGATGGGAGAATTGTTTGAGCCTGGGGTCCAGGCTGCAGTGAGCTGTGGTTGCACCACTGCACTCCGAGTCCTGGGCAACAGACCAAGAACGCCTGTCCAAAAAAAAAAAGGAAGGAAGAGAAGGAAGAGAGGGGAAAGAGAGGAAGGAAGGGAGGAAGGAAGGAAGGATGGATGGAAGGAAGGAAGGAGAGAGAGAGAGAGAGAGAGAGGAAAGGAAGGGAAGAGGAAGAAAAAAAGAAAGAAAGAAAGAAAATTAAAAGAAAGAAGAAAAGAAAAAGAGAAAAAGAAAGACAGATCTGGGCAGAGAGGGTGGCTTGTGGGAAACCCTATGTCATGCCTCTAAAGAGGAGCAGCTCAGCATGGTGGGGAAGAGCCTGGGCTCCAGCCCTCCCTCTACCACCATGTGCTCCACAGCTATTTAGGCAACTGCTTCACCTCTGAGTTCCATTGCCTCCCTCCTGCAATGGGCACAATAATCAGAGTGGCTGTGCGGCTGAATTAGATACTGCACATTAAGGGTGGCATAGCATGTACTCTGAAATAACCATTGCCCTGCTGTAAAGCTCTGTGAAGAGAGGCAATGCCTCCACAGCCACTGCTACATCCTCAGTGCCCTGGTGTGTCTGATGCAAGGTCTAGCTTCACTGACATTTGCTGGATGAACAAGCTCTGTTCTTCTACAGGACACCCTGGAAAGCACAAACAGGGGACACTCAGCCAGGGAGGTTGGCATCTGGACAGAAAGCTGCATGGTATCACAGGGGGCCAACCCAAGATGGAGAAGGCAGGCCTCCCTCACTCTCCAGCCTCCCCAGTGCAGGTCAGGA